TGTGTGTGTGTGTGTGTGTGTGTGTGTGTGTGTGTGTGTGTGTGTGTGTGTGTGTGTGTGTGTGTGTGTGTGTGTGTGCGTGCGTGTGTGTGTGCGCGCGTTTGCGTGCAGGTTTGCGTGCGCGTTTGCGTCCGCGTTTGCGTGTGCGTGTACGTGTGTGTCACAACAGATATAGTGTGTGTAGGAGGTTTATACACCGGTGTTCATTAATTAATCGTATAGTTAAGTAAAATTGCGTCATTTCCGCTGCCTCTGCGTAGTTTTTAACACCGATGCAGCTGCGCATCCTGTTTACGTTTTTGATGTTTTTACTTTGCGAATGGCTTTTCCTGCACGATTCCCATGATGACGTATATAAACGCAGATGCTATGTTTGCGTCGACCACAAACACCCAGTTAATCAGCGCTCCAAGCGGCGACGGAAAACAATAGCCAGACCCGCAAAAGGCGAGAAGGATAGTGAATATTGTGGATGCGAGGCGGCGTGAGGCCTGTGAGAGGCATGATTACGCTCCAATATCTCGGCCTAGGAGTATCGTAGAGACAAGCGGTTGGTCTTATTTTAGAGAGCAAAGAATGCTGCTTAACGCAATACTATGAACTTAGTCTGAAACCGCATACAAAGTAGAATAATATTGCCGTGAAATAGCGCCATTTTTCCGTTTTCCCCTTGTACACTCTAGGTATTTATTAGCTCTTGGTATTATAAAACATTAAAATGCGAATGGCTCGAGCTAATATCTCGTCTGGGCGATAGTTAACGTTGCGTCAAGCAGATGAGTGAGACTGCGAATGTAATTACGCGAAACAGTTGAATTGTAGTGATAATGTACTTGCGTAAAAGAGGTTAATAACGGTGATACTGTGCTCACATAAAGCAGGAAAATTGTGGTGATAATGTACTTGCGTAAAAGAGGTTAATAACGGTGATACTGTGCTCACATAAAACAGAAAAATTGTGGAGATAATGTGCTTGCGTAAAAGAGGTTAATAACGGTGATACTGTGCTCACATAAAGCAGGAAAATTGTGGTAACAACGCGATTACCTAAAACAAGTAAACTACGGCGAGACCGTGCTTTCATGTATTCGTACGTACGTACATACCCACATACATTGGTGATATTGCGTTAAACCTAAAGGTCACCACCTGTTAAGCATTGCTTTTTACATTTACTTGGTGACATATTTTCGTCGTAGCATCAGCAACAGACAGGTGGACACGCGACGTAATACAAAGTTGCTTCCGCCACAGGATTTCAGAATCATCTCCTTGCTATACATATACACGCGATATGAAAACCATCGCACCTATGTGTTCACGCATGCAGCCTGTTCTGCTAGCATCTATGGCAAATACGACATACGCATATCCGCTCTCCTATGACACTATTTGTCATAGGAAGATTCTTCCTATGACAAATATTATTGTATGTGTTGTGCGCATCACAGGAGTTTAGGAGCGCTATTATGAAAGCAAGCAGTCAATTTCAGCTATAAAGCGAAACGAAGTTGACTCGCCAATATTTGTCATAGGAAGAATCTTTCTATATTAAATAGTGTCATAGGAGAGCGTATATGCGTATGTCGTATTTGTCATAGATTCAAGCAGAACACGTAACCTATTCGGCATAGTTTTATTCGTGGCATTTGAGCTCTCACAACCAATTGATTAAATTTACCTACGCGCCTTAATTGACGATGTGCAAAGCGTTCCGCTGAATAGAAAGTGCGTCGTTGTGTTTTTTCTCCAAGCGCTAGACTGCTTTTGCTGAGGACGCACGCACGCACACGCGCACGCACACGCACTGTATTTCTCGTGAATTGCGACACACTGTATACATATAAACGAGCGAGTAATGTACATGAAGGCGGAGCATACTGTCGTATACTGAAAATAATGGATGATGATCACTGCAAATCTATTGAGGATGAAATACACATACTCAATCAATGTCCTCGCCTCGCAGCCACCGCACTGCGTCTGTGTAATGTGATGTTGTGTCTAATTATTGCTGTCATGTTACCCGAACACACGGAAACGCATCCCCTTACACACTGATATACACAGACACGGACACAGAAACTGACACACATACAGACCCAAACACAGACGCCGACATACACACACACGCACGCAGGCATGTATGCACACACACACACACACACACACACACACACACACACAC